TTCCCTACATAGGCCCCCATGCCTTACCACACCAGATTAAATGCAAATTCTTATATATGTCAGAGGCTGTCTGTCACTTGCTGACTTGATGAACTAGCTTTTTTGCACAATAGAAATGCTGATGCACATAATGGATCTGCTCCTGCCCTGGCTGAAGTCAATGCCAGAGTTCATATAGACTTATACAGAAACAGCACTGAGACATTACATAAAGAACAAGCATTTCAAGTGACCTCCCTGAATTGCTTGTGAATGAAGAATAAATATTATTTTGCTAGTACACAGGAAAGTGCCCATCTACCGTCTATTTTAATAACATGATAATAAACAAACAATAAAAAAGAATACTGGAGTCTCGATAAGCCTGAAGGGTATTGCAGGTAATTACAGCTTTATATTTGTGGCGCTAAAAGTCTGAATACTCGAGAGGTGCTTAAAGTGAAGGAAATACGGGGCTATAGAAAGTCCCATTATTTCGTTCTAATTGAAATACAGACCTGTTGTGGGTCAGTGTTTCCATTGCAAGCATATTTTAGTGACTTGTAGCTTGGTCCTAACACAGCTCACTGGTGCTCATTAATTTTTCTTAAAGACATACATTTACACTAACACTATTAAAGAATTGTAGCTCATTAAAGGCTTTTTTCACCCTTTTGATGCTGCAAATACATCAGGCAAAATGAAACACTGCCTCGGATACATGTACCTGGTGCTCCATAGTTTTATTGTGAAATTGGTACAAGGCTACAGCATAAAGGCTGAGCTGCAGCACCTTTACTGAAGCAGTCAAAGATCATATTTGACAGTCTGTTGAGATTATTAGAGAGGCAATTCCTGCATTTTTAAGGGATTGATTTGCACCTTGGCCTATTCATCAGTTACACAGAGCATTCATCTGAAGCTGCTTGAAGGACATCACTGACAACTAGATAGTAATTTAAAAGATGAAACCATCTTTTCAACAAACATACTTAGAAAGTAATAGAGTTACACATTTTGGATAGAAACACTTGCCAATTTACTTGGTCCTTGGGGAGCTTTATTAAACATGAGTTAGCACTGTTGTCAGCTCCCAACATTCAAAAATCATGACAGATACAAATCTCTGAGATACTAGTTAAAAATCATGGGATATAAAATTTAATTTGTGGTTCTTTGGATCTTGGTTTGGGTTTTTGAGCCTTTAAGGTGCATGCAGCTGATATTTTAAAGTTTAAATTTCTCTATAGGTAGAAGGGTTAAAACTTCCTTTTTTAACAAAAGATAAAAGTCATGTGTATTGATGGCTCCAGGACATCATGCTTTAAAAAATAAATGCTAAAACATCTCAATTCTCATAATGAAATTACGAGTGTCTATAACTCTGTGTTGGTATCAACAAAGAAATCTTGAAAACTTCCGCAAATCCAGGATTCTCAGTGAGCCCTGGGCCTAATTCCTCTCCATCTTCAGAAGCTCCAGCTTTGCTTGGAGCAACACTAATGAATTCAGCTCCTGCTTCCTGGGCAAACCCAGGCTTGTACTGTTTCTTTTAAAATGGCTCCACTTGGACTCAGTAGCTGGCAATGCTAGTTGCCACTCAGGCAAGGTCCTAGGGGCCTTCAGTCTGGTCTGGCTTTTCACATGACAACTTCAGTTCTCACCTGCACTTCCTACTCTTGTAAATATATGGCGCACAGAACTGGTAACAAGTCAGTCTTTATTATTATTTTCTGATCCCACAAACAACTGAAAAATATTTTCACTTTTCAATTCCCTTATTCTGCCAGTGTACAGGACAAGAAGTAATAGGCATAAATTGCGACATGGGAGATTTTGGTTAGACATAAAAAAGACCATTCTAATTCTGAGGCCAGTTAAGCACTAGCACAGATTACCTAAGAAGGTTGTGGAATGTCTATGACCGGAGGTTTTTAAGTGCAGGTTACACAAACATTTGTCTGATGGTTTAACAAGGGATGATTGAACCTTGACCAGAGGGTTGGACTAGATGACCTCATGAGGTCCTTTCCAGCTCTGTTTTTATATGATTATCTGTCATGAGTGACAGAGGTGATATATGCATGTGGCCCATATTCACTAAAGGTAGCAGCTACCACTACATGCTGCAGTAACTACATACTGCTACTTTTTAATTGGTTAAGCAAGAAAATCTAGCACACTGTGACTGAGTTCCTCCAGGTACTTTCCACTAGAAGGTTTACAACTTCTTTCAGCTCCCTATTGGTCATAAGGTGATCAGTTTGGATAAAAAATTGTTCCTAGTCTCTTATGCCAGGGCAGGTTATATAAAAGTAACACATTCAGAAAATGTTAGCCAGAAAAATTAAGTAATGGCAAGACAGTAGCCATATTTATGCTTTACAGATCAGCAAATACTTTGTTCAATTCCTTTCTACCTGGGGCACTTCAGGAAGGGATTGTATTCTTCAATAGCAGTTTAAACTGACTTCAGTTAGAACAGTAGTTCTTAATTAGCATCAGTGGGAGGCTTGCTTGCATAAGGACTTTGACATTAGCCACTGTGTTTCATAGGAAATGTCCAAATCTGCTACAGCAAGTCAGCAATTCATCAGTTGTAAGAATCTGTCACACTTTTCTATTCAGATTTTTGACTTTTTTTGTTTTGGAGGCCCCTTCTACATGTTACATATATTACTTAATTGTGTACTTGGTTAATAGTGCAATTAATTTAAACACTACACGTGCAAAATAACTAGTACACCAAGCAAAGCTATAAAGTTAGAGCTGGAAAATGTGTAATAACTTTATAGCTGGTTTCTATCCAGCTTTAATTTGCACATGTAGCAAACTAGCTACACCCTGGTGGCTGGGAGCCTTGTCAGCTGACAGGACAGCAGTGTGCCATGCACCGCTGCAGCTGGGAGTTCCTGTAGCTGATGGAAATCTCAGTAGCGGCAACTGTGGGGTGCTGCCACTACTGAGAGTCTTGGCAGCTGACAGACCTCACAGTTGTGGGAGCTTGCTACTTTTCAGTGCAGGGGGAGCCAGGGATGGTAATAAAGCAATATTGCCCTGCACTGGCAATAAGATGTGATTGGATCCAATGCTGAATCCCACAGTCATACCTCCTGCTATGCATGTGTGGCAGGGCAGGACATGTGATTGTGTGGATTGTGCATCAGATCCTATCATGTCTTTACCTGCATGTTTAGAGGGGCCCAGAGAAACATTAAAACGTAGAAAATACAACGTCAAAGTACTGCTTAAGAGCCTGATTAGTTTCACAAAGTAAACAGTTGGAGGAGTAAACCTCCCATTCTATACTTAATTTGTCTAAACATTTCAGAATATACAGAATATGCTGTACACTCCCATCGGATTTATCTCTGAACACCTCGTGCCTAGGAGCAGCACAGAGAGCTAAGCCCAGAACATCAGTATGAATGTGAAGTATCTGTATCTGTGTACTTCAATTTAGAACCTTGATAATACTTTAATGCTGTTACTGTGTGTGTCAATATATTATCACCTATCCATGATACACTTTAGGATGGTGCTGTTGGTCTCTGGCTTCCATGAACGTTAAGGTCAGTAAAGGATTGTGGTAATTTAAGATAGAAAAGTCCTGTTGGATCGCTGAGTCCTAATCCTTGGAAAGGTCATCCTACTGCACAAAGACAGTATCATATTCTGCCAATACCACATTTGTTCTTTGCTAAAAGGCTAAGAGGAAATATTACACCTTATCTCTTTTCAAGTTACTGAATTCTTGCAGTTTTATCTTGTCAAGCTATTCCTTATCTTAGCTTAGTTACCTGCATTTTTATTAAAGTGACATCATTAGTTCTTTTGTAGTGACAATCAAAAACCAAATGGAAAAATCCCAGAATAGGGCTAGGCATTCAGCAGTAGTTTCTTTTTACTTGTTAAATGTCTGAATTTAAATGTATTTTGCAGCCTTTATGAATTATTCAGGAAGCTGGAAAAATATGATTCACTGCCACTACTTATTAATATTCATGCACTAAAGAATACAGGAGGGATGTAACTTCCAAGGGAGGTGGTGCTGGCCCCTACCCTGGGGATCTTTAAGAAGAGGCTGGATACTTACCTGGCTGGACTCATTTGAGTCCCGTTTTTGTTTTTAGGGTTTGTTGTGGGTTTTTTTTTTGTTTTGGTTGTTCTCCCACCCTGGTGGGGGGTCGGGCTAGAAGATCTATTAGGTCCCTTCCGACCCTGAAACTATGAAACTATGTATTTATTATGTTCATTCCAATATTTTTTGCTGTGCTCTAGGGTGTTGTCTGGCATGACAGATGCAATCCTGGCCCGAGTTTATAAACAATCTGATCTGGACCTGTTGGCAAAAGAAGCCTCAATCCCAATAATCAATGGCTTGTCTGATTCATACCATCCTATCCAAATTGTAGCTGATTACCTTACACTTCAGGTAATAATTTACTTCTTTGTTAATACTACCACTTTAAGTAAGAATAAGTCTCGCTAAGTATTTGAAAAACTCATAGTCAAAGTAGCTAAACCTAGATAGTTAATGTATGAACATATAATTTATTACCAGTACAATGATTTGGTTAAATGCATGCTTAACTTTAAGCAATCACGTAGTCCAGTCAACTTCAATGGACCTGAAGTGCTTTGTCATTTTGGGGCTACAGTGGAAAAATGTGCAGAGTTTGTTACATATTAAGATAAAGCTGAAAGCCTTATCTTAAGCCTGTCCTCACTGAAGTCAATTGGAGTCTTGTCATTGATTTCAATGGAGCTAGGATTTCACATAGGCTAGGAACAGATATTGCATTTGTCCTGGTACAAGTTGTGCCTATGTTTGTCCCAAAACAGAAAAGTCCTGGGATTGATGTGTAGTGAGTGGCTGAATTCACCGCCACTTTTATGCCATTGATCCACTGATGGAGGATTACTGCTTCTTAACCCATGAACCTTTTTAAGGTTTGTTCCCAGACAACAGACATGGATGTCTGAATGATCACACTTTGTCCCAGCAGAAAATGGTTTCTCCCAGGACACACATGACATCTGTTTAGTAGTCTCTGCCCTAATTACTTTTGAAACAGACCTTGTCTTTGTTAGAAAGGTGTAGATTTGTTTGAGAAACAATTTAGCTAAACTAGAGCAGATCCTAAATGTGGAAACATTTAAGCCATGTTTAAATCAAGGAGGAATTAATAAAGAGCATATTGTGTAGGTCTAATTTTAATTCAGTGTTTTATATCAGGAGTGCTCAAACCTAGGCCCGCAGGCCAAATCTGGCCTGCAGAGCTGTGCCATCTGGCACACTGGGCTCCCTGCAGGTCCAGAAATTTGGCAGTGGGGGAATGGTGGCAGCAATTGCCATATCCTTGCTGCCAAATTTCTGAATAAATGGGGAGCCCTGTGGTCTGAATAATGTGGCCCTGCCTGCTGTTTTGGGCATGCAGGGCCTAGTGGATGCAGCAGGGGCCTGATTCCAGCTCACTGGGTGGGCGGAGGCTGTGCGGAACTGCTGGGAGCACACAAGGCCTAGTCCAGGTGCGTTGGGACAAGGGAGGGGTATAGGGCCCTATTCTGGTGCATGGAGCCCGATTTGGCCTGTGGGCCAGTCCCATGTCATTCATCCCACCCGCAGGGCCAAAAGGTAGAGCACTACTCTTTCATATGATAACTCAATAGTATTTTACTTCTGTAGGTAGAGCTGGAATTAAATTAATGGGGGCCTAGGACAGAAGCTCTGGCATTGAACCCTTCCTCTTCTCACTTGCACACTGGATAACTTTGCCATTTGAGCTAACTTTGGTTAGTGATGCCCATCTCTAAAATGAGCTCCTTATAACGTGCCGAATCACCTGCTGGTGAAATCAGTGTACTTCTACTGAAGTGAACTGAGAGATGCTGATTTACACCACCTGACAAACTGACTTCATTCTTCAGTACATTGTAGAGCTGGCTGAAAATTTTTGCTGAAGCCTCATGAACCTTGTTTTCTCTTTTTTGTGAAGAGAAAAGCCCAGATAAGGTTGTAATAAATTTCTCAAATGGTTCATCTCTCTCTCTCTTTCTGCCTGTGAAGGCCCAAACATGAAATCTATTGTGTGGCAAAGACTGACAATGAGAGAGACAATAAGTTATTCATGGAGAAATGCTGTGAAATCCATCCAGTTAGTGTTGAATTAGGCTCTCACTATAGCCTTAAGTTGACAAATATATTTTCATATAAGTGGTTGTCAACAATAAAAATCTCAGGTCACCAAATTTTTAGAGAATATATTTAACCTCAAAACTAAAATGAGTCTCATACCTTAAGATGAGGTACTTTTAGGAGACATTTAGCTTTTGTCAGCTCTTTAAATTGTGTAAGGAAATGAATCATAACTAGAGCTTTGGCTACAATAAAGAGTTCTTGTTTCACTTAAATGCTGAGTGTAACTGTTAATTGTAAAAACTTGTATTATAGTTTTTCTCTTACAAATACCCTACCTGTTAGCACTTGTTTTCCCACCTGTGGTTAGCAAGTTTTCACCAGCTATATGTGACTCATGTTTATATAACTGCACCTGCTATTCATCACTAATTAGCCGTGTTCTTACTAACTACCCTACTGCCATCTGTAATTTAGGGATGTCTCCTTGACGGAGGTAAGAAAGTAAACAGTGGAAGTGGCCTGTGTAGCATTCACCTCCACATTTCTTTATGCCTACATTTTTGTGTTTTGAAGGGACCACTCCCTGCTGGCCCTGTCACCTGGTTCCTGTTCCTGCAAGACCATGCCCCTAGAGCAGTGCTTCCCAAACTTTTCCTCAGCATGACCCCATGGCCCCATTTCCTCAGCATGGCCCCTCAATCCCAACCCACAGCTGTTCACCCCTGCGACTCCATCTGCTGATGTTGCGACCCCATTTGGGGTCGCAACCCACAGTTTGGGAACCGCTGCCCTAGAGAGGTAAGACGGAGACATCTGAATTGAGCTTTTGTTCTTTTTGTCTAAGTGCAGTCCCAAACTTGGAGACTATAGAAAGTTCAATTTAAGCCACATTTAATGCTTTTCAGATTCTACAGTATATTACAGACCACAACATAATTCAAACAGGCCTAGAATTGGAAGAGAGATGTTAAGGTTGCATTACAATCCTGATGCAGCTCTTTGAACAGCACTACCACCCCATCTTAATGTGCCCATCTCATCCCTAATGCTGTCAGTCTATTCTCTATGCCAAATTTACAAAGCAGCTTTATGCTGACCTTTTCATAGATTCATAGATGTTAGGGTTGGAAGGGACCTCAATAGATCATCGAGTCCGACCCCCTGCATAA